TGTTTCTAAGTGTTTCCTCAGTAAGTCTCTCTCCAGTGAAACAATAACCGGCCTCCATCATTCCACTTAAAAACAGAGGCATCGAGGTCAACGCAGGCACGTAAAACAACCCAGAGCACTTCTGGCCACCGCCTTTGTTTTTTTGGAAATCCTCTGTAACGGAGACGAGCGTGGGCCGTCGGGTCAGGATAATGTGAGATAGTGCACCGCGGCTCCGTCCAAGGATGCGGGAGGGACGAGTATCTGAGCCCTGAGAAGTGCTGACTGGGAACTTTCCAGAAAAGCCAGCGCTCGCAATCTCGATCACAACATTCCAGCCTCGTTTCTAACAACCAAAGAAGGAAAGATGAACGTACCTTCTTGAAAACCAGAGGAACTCTGGAACCGGGGGATTTTTTCTGGTCGTTTTCCAGCAATGTAGTGAGAGGAACGCCAAATATGCCGCTGTCTGTGGGAACAAAACGACAGCGTTTACAGCCAGTTTTACTTGGTTTCTGAGTGTTAATATGACTCACATTTACTATGGTAACACCATGTTTATAAACATTTACTATGGAAACACAATAATTTTTGGACATTTACTATGGTAATACCATGTTTTCTGGATATTGACAATGGCAACACCATGTTTTGTACAAATTTACTATGGTGACATCATGTTTTATGGACATTACAATGGTAAAATCATGTTTTGGGATATTTACTACGGTAATACTACGGTTGTTGTAGACATTTACTGTGGTGACACCATGTTTTGGGATATTTACAGTAGTAATAGTATCCTGCTGTCTGTGGGAACAAAACAACATTGTTTAAAGCCAGTTTTCCGCAGAGTCTGGATGTGAGCGACACGCACCCCGTGCTTTACTGCGCACCACGCGGTTCCTCTTCATCTCGATGCCCATGAAGTCGTAGAATGTGGTCAGCTCGATCAGGGAGATGTAGCCGATCTTCTTGATGTCCTCAGACGATAGATCGCTCACTCGCGTCACGCCCTGTCTGGGCCTCACGATCTGAAAACTCTGAAGAACAGACCACAAACAGCATTAGACGGCAGCATCTGATCTGAGCTCGCTATCCAGGGAAGCTTTCGGTAAATGCTGCTTGTTTGTGTCACGCAACAGAACAAACACTGCCAGTAAGAGGTGCATTATGTAGACCCCATGAGATAGCTGGACAATTTTCTTTCCTGTGTTCACAAGATTTTTTTTCTTTTGACAGAAATGAATACTTCTATTCAGCAAGAATTAAGTAAAATTGATCAAAAGTGACAGTTAAGACATTTATAATGCAGGAAAACAGCACAATGATTTCTGAAGATCATGTGACACTGAAGACTGGAGTAATGATGCTGAAAATACAGCTGTGCATCACAGAAATACATTACAGTTTAACAGATACTCACACAGAAAACAGCTGTTTTAAACTGTAAAACATTTTCGCAATTTTACTGTATTTTCTGACTGGGAACTTTCCAGAAAAGCCAGCGCTCGCAATCTCGATCACAACATTCCAGCCTCGTTTCTAACAACCAAAGAAGGAAAGATGAACGTACCTTCTTGAAAACCAGAGGAACTCTGGAACCGGGGTATTTTTTCTGGTCGTTTTCCAGCAATGTAGTGAGAGGAACGCCAAATATGCCGCTGTCTGTGGGAACAAAACGACAGCGTTTACAGCCAGTTTTACTTGGTTTCTGAGTGTTAATATGACTCACATTTACTATGGTAACACCATGTTTATAAACATTTACTATGGAAACACAATAATTTTTGGACATTTACTATGGTAATACCATGTTTTCTGGATATTGACAATGGCAACACCATGTTTTGTACAAATTTACTATGGTGACATCATGTTTTATGGACATTACAATGGTAAAATCATGTTTTGGGATATTTACTACGGTAATACTACGGTTGTTGTAGACATTTACTGTGGTGACACCATGTTTTGGATATTTACAGTAGTAATAGTATTCTGCTGTTTGTGGGAACAGAACCAGTTTTCCGCAGAGTCTGGATGTGAGCGACACGCACCCCGTGCTTTACTGCGCACCACGCGGTTCCTCTTCATCTCGATGCCCATGAAGTCGTAGAATGTGGTCAGCTCGATCAGGGAGATGTAGCCGATCTTCTTGATGTCCTCAGACGATAGATCGCTCACTCGCGTCACGCCCTGTCTGGGCCTCACGATCTGAAAACTCTGAAGAACAGACCACAAACAGCATTAGACGGCAGCATCTGATCTGAGCTCGCTATCCAGGGAAGCTTTCGGTAAATGCTGCTTGTTTGTGTCACGCAACAGAACAAACACTGCCAGTAAGAGGTGCATTATGTAGACCCCATGAGATAGCTGGACAATTTTCTTTCCTGTGTTCACAAGATTTTTTTTCTTTTGACAGAAATGAATACTTCTATTCAGCAAGAATTAAGTAAAATTGATCAAAAGTGACAGTTAAGACATTTATAATGCAGGAAAACAGCACAATGATTTCTGAAGATCATGTGACACTGAAGACTGGAGTAATGATGCTGAAAATACAGCTGTGCATCACAGAAATACATTACAGTTTAACAGATACTCACACAGAAAACAGCTGTTTTAAACTGTAAAACATTTTCGCAATTTTACTGTATTTTTGATCAAATAAATCCAGACTTGCTGAGCATTCTTTCCAAAAACATCAAAAAATGTTACCAACCAAAGCTACAAACATGAACTAAACAAACTCTAAATTTGATGGGAAGTAACTTGTAGAATCAGTTTGAAAAACACACATTTAAGACATTATGACAGATCATCTATATTGTCCGATCCTAACAAACCATACATCAATGGAAAGCTTATTTATTCAGCTTTCAGCTGATGCATACATCTCAATTTCAGAAAATTGGCACTTATGACTGGTTTTGTGCTCCAGGGTCACATATAATAAAAAAATTATAATAAAATAGGTCAATATTTACATAAATGCTGTGAAAATTGCTTATATAATTATATAAAATGTCAAATAATCTAATATAATGCAGTCTTTTCATTTCGTATGAAGGAAGCCAGTGTTTAAGTGTTTATTCATTTTTTTATTCTTCGATGGCATTTCTTTAAACGCTTACGTTTCCTTTGTGGGAATGCAAAACGTGATTGAAATTTAAACTCAAATTTATCTCAAATAATTGTGGTTGGATCAATAACCACGATCAGACAATTAATCAGTAATCATTTTAGAATCACTCAAATGTACAAATCAAGGTCATCACATGTCAGATATAAATCATCTCCGCGTGTTAATACATGTGTATTAATGTCTATATAGACGATGTCCTGCTGAACACTGGACATTTGTTGGACTATTTCGGTCCAGTGAGTCTGTCCTTCATATCCAATCAGAGGATCAGATATTTCAGCTGTCGGAGCAGCTGAGCGTGACTCATGACTGATTCAGCCTCCAAACAAACGCCTGTGTGCTGCTGTCTGTCTGACCGCTTACTGACCACACGTCCTCTAAACCGAACAGACTCCACAGCATTTAAAACAGCTCCATACACTCTGTCCAGTCGAACCTGCTGCCATTGCTCAGTCAAACAGATAGTCATTAGTTGCACTTCTGCATGTGATTTTCATTGCACTCAAGATAAACGTGTTATCTGGGAATCGAACTCGCAACCTTGTCGCAAGCTAGCACGATTTACTATCTGAGCTACAAATGACACACTATTTGATTATGTTTTAAGCTCGTAATGTTTAATCCAAAATATCATAACTGGATCTTTCGGCGTTTACAAGCTCAAAAAAATAAAAAAAGTAAATTTAATTGCATGCATTTAGAAAATAGAGTGAATTTTCATTTCATGCCAACATTAAAGCTGATGTTCAAATAGTTTGTGGTGTGCCAATCATTTAGTGTTCTTAAACTCCACCCCTGCAGCTCACGTTCATTTGCATAGACTTTTGGGAGCCACGCCCACATCTCAATACATTCATGTCATCTTGACGTTTGCGAGGAAAGAATCCAAACTCAGATGTGTGTCAGCAGGAATGAATGAAGGTTTTTGTGGTCTCATCTGCTGTCATGAGGCTAATTTTAAACGCGTCTGGTCGCTGCTCATTCCAGCCTCAGTCAGTGGGACGGTTATTTTGAGAGGCTTTCACACGCCGAACAAACGGCCGCAGCAGCTGCATAACAGCCAATCGACACGCCTGTGAAACAAGTAGTGTTCATTTTGTCAGCTAGTTTTAATTTAGTCTTAGTCTTAGTCCTGTGTCAAATGTAACTTTTAGTCTTTATCATTTGTGACCCTGCAGTGTTAAGTGGCTGGGGGATATTTGTAGCAATAGCCAACAATACATTGTATGGGTCACAATTATACATTTCTCTTTTATGCCAAAAATCATTAGGATATTAAGTAAAGATCATGTTCCATGAAGATATTTTGTAAATGTCCTACCGTAAATATATCAAAACTTAATGTTTGATTAGTAATATGCATTGCTAAGAACTTCATTTGAACAACTTTAAAGATGATTTTCTCAATATTTAGATTTTTTTGCACCCTCAGATTCCAGATTTTCAAATAGTTGTATCTCAGCCAAAATGGAAAGCTTATTTATTCAGCTCTCAGGTGATGCATACATTTCCAAATTTTTTGAAAAATTGACCCTTATGACTGGTTTTGTGCTCCAGGGTCACATATTATAACAGAGAAATTCCTAATAGTAATTCCAAATTGCATTAATGTTTCTCTTTTAAAACCACAGCAAAACAAAGACTTATCGCTGCACAGAGGTTGTGTACGTCAGGCTTGTGTTGTGTTTCGTTCCCATGTGCTCCCTGTGTCCCAGTGTTTATGCCCATATTTGGTTCGTTTCCTGTTCCTGATTATGTTGATTTAATTCCAGGTGTTCCCCGTTTATTATGTTTCGTCATCCCCTCGTCTTGTCATGTGTTTAAATAAAACTACGTTTTAGTCTCGTCTTTTTTCGTCAACGATATTGCACGTTCATTTAGTCTCAGTTATCGTCAGGGGAAAAACTTCATTGACGAACATTTTTCGTCATAGATTTCGTTAACGAAATTAACACTAGAAACAAGACCACACCTGCAGATCTGCTGATTTGAAACGGAAATGAAAACCAGTTTGAGCTCACCGACACGTCGGACATGGAGAAGACGTCTCGCACGTGTCTCATGGGCTGCCTGTTCCTCTTGCGCAGCGTCTGCGTGTAGTTATCCAGCCGTTTCTTCACCATGGCGGCCTGTGAGCGCGTGAGCGTGGAGAGGAGAGCCTCCGCCGGGCCGTCGCTCTGTGTTCCCGTCACCAGTGTGGAGAGCCCCGCCTCCTGCAGCCACGCCTCTTCAAGCTCCGCCTCTGAAACATCAAACACACTCTATTAGACTCCTTCACACCAGAGACATGAACTAGAATGATAATTATAAAGCTGTATGATGATCCGTACGCACCGTCCACACTGGCTCGCTCCATCTGCTCCTCCGGTCCTCCCTGACGCTCCTCATCGATGCTCTTCATCTCACTCCAATAGTCCTCCATGGAGTCCCGCTCCAAACTCATGCTGCCTATCCGCTGATACTGCGCTTTCCTGCAGAAACACAGAGGAACACACATCTGAGCACACGGTACTGACACGCAAACCCAACACACACACACACACACACACACACACAGACCTGAACGAGGAGAACATACATACTGCCGTTCACTCAGATCAGACTCAGACTTCCAGATTTACAGCGAAGCCTCACGAAAACCCAAACTAAAAGAAGGAGGCAGAGAGGAGGGAAAAGAAGAAAGGATGAAAAGAAGGAAAAAGAGAAAAGGGACAAAAGAAGAAGAAGGGAAAAGATTGAAAACAAAAAAAGGTTAAAACAAGAAAAGCGAGGAATGGGAAAAGAAAAGGGAAAAACAAGAAGGAAAAATGGAAAAAGAAGAAAAGCAAGTGATGGAAAAGAAAAATAAGGAAAGAAGAAAAGAGAAAATAAAAGTGGAAAAGAAGGACAAAAATTCAAAGAAATAAGAGAAGGAAAAAGACAGAAAATGGACAAAAGATTGAAAAGAAAAAGGTTAAAACGGGAAGAAAAAAAAGAGGAATGGGAAAAGGAAAGAGAAAAAAAAGGAAAAATGGAAAAAAAGCAAGTGATGGAAAAGAAAAATAAGGAAAGAAGAAGAAAGGACAAAAAGGAAAAGGAAAAAGAAAGAAGAAAAAGAAAATAAAAATAAGGGGAAAAAAGAAGAAAGGACAAAAAGGAAAAAAGAAAAAGAAAAGCTGTACAAAATATAAGAGAAAATATCAATACTGATGTCTCATAAAAAGCTTAAAGTCACTGTACAAACATCCCGCTTCACGTGGAGTCGTCACCTACGACTAACTTCTTCCTCAACGCATCTGATAACAGCACAGTTACTGAGACGAAACACGCTTTATTCAGCCGGTCACATGATCTCAACACGCCATCCTCGTGTGAATAAACCAGATCTACTACGAGTCCGAATCTGATGTGAGCAAACATGAGTTGATCGGGGTCGTGCTACATTTGCTCACAAAATATTAAACCCTATTAAAGACATAATTCATAACACAGCGGCATGTTCAGTGAGAGACTACAGTTTTAGAAAAACAGCTTCTCTTTCAGCCGCTGGAGAAAAGAGCTCTCGCTAACGGGAGAATAATCAGCCATCAGCTCATCTCTTCCATAAAGAAACCATTCAGTCCAAGTGAAGGAGAAGAACATTAGAGACGCTCTAAACCGAGGGGGATCTGAAACAGACAGGACGGACGCTCGTATGAGCTTCATCTCTCGGGGTTTCTATCAAATATTGATAAGCTGCAGGAGCTGAAGATGATGAAGATGAAGATGATGGGCAGGAAGTGGACCTGCGTCATTTAGAGGAAGTTATCGATCAGCGCTGCATGTGATGGAGTCTGAATTGTGTTACATGAAGAGCTTAATTGCCTCCAAACGTTCCTGCCTCAGTTTACACACATCAAGCCTTCGATGGAACGCAGTGTTCAGCTGGAAAAACATCACAAAACAACCTCCTTCACACACTCCAGCAGCGCGAGGAACGGCAGGAGCACACTTCTGATCTGAGTCGACATGAACACAGATCTTCAGGACAATGCAAAAAAAACTAAACATTAATGATCCGATTATTGCTGATTTTAAGAAAACCGTTCCTGACATTAAAGGAATATTCCAGGTAAAACACAACTCTTTGTTTATTAAATGCTTGACAAACAACTCAAACTATTTACTTAATAGTAATAATAATAATAATAAACTATGTCATTTTTATAGCACCTTTCCAAAACCCAAGGTCACTTTACAAACAAGTAATATAATACTATATATATGTGTGTGTGAAGAGTTTATTTGCAAAAACAGATAACTCCGTTTTTTTAAATGTTCAAAAATCATGTTTTTTATCATGTTTTATTGTGTTAGTCAGCTGTTTTGTTGTTGTTGTTGTTGTTTTTTTAACCTAGTCAAAATAACCCAACTGCGGTTTGATTGAGATTAATTGGAATGCACAATAAAATCACATGATTTCTGAGAATTGTTAAAAACTGAGTTTTGTTTTTGCAAATGAACTCTTCATATATATATATATATATATATAGATAGATAGAAAAATAAGATTAAGATAACTTGACAATATATTATTTTTATATATTATATTTATATTATGTAAAATAATATAAATATATACAAAATTAAGACCACGCTTTTTTACTTTTCAAATATCTTTCACTCATTTTTTATACACTTAAAAGAGTAAATGAACACGAAATTCAACCATAAAGACTTTAAAACATTTCAAACATGACTCAGAATTGCTCCTTTTGCTTTTGTGTGTTAAAAAAGATGAAATACGACTGAAGTTGACTTGATGCTCTTTGATTAGCACAGAAAAGAAGCAAATCTCAGGTGTAAACGCTGAGAATACAACATGTTTTGCAAAAACAGATAACTCCGTTTTTTTAAATGTTCAAAAATCATGTTTTTTATCATGTTTTATTGTGTTAGTCAGCTGTTTTGTTGTTGTTGTTGTTGTTTTTTTAACCTAGTCAAAATAACCCAACTGCGGTTTGATTGAGATTAATTGGAATGCACAAGTGTGTGTGTGTGTGTGTGTGTGTCTCCGCCCACCGGTCGCTCTTACTGACCTCTCTCTCTCTCTCTCCTCATGTCATTAATGTCCATTGTCTTCTCAGTTTACAGCTCTTCCTAAAGCTCATCTCTGCCCATTCAGACTTTGAGACACACAGAAACGCGTTTAATTCAGGAAAAGTGCTTCCAGATGTGGCTAATGACCACAACAGCATTCCCAACACCGCTGCTTTAGTTTAAACAAACATTTCCCTCAATCCAGCACGCAACAAATGCCCCGAGACACTAAAATAAACTAAAAATGTATTAAAAAAAACTAAATATTTAAAAAAGAAATGACAAAATCATTAAAATTGAAATGAAAACAAAAAAATAATTATTTTTTTCTATTTTATAAAGTTCTGCCATTAGAAAACAATGATAAGACGAGAAACAATATCATGTGCATGAAAAATAAAATCTACAGAAAGGAAATACTTGTTCTCTTATTTTAGAGACAGAGTTTCATCGTTAAATCAAGTACAAATTCTATTTCAATATTTGTTTACAGCACAAACACTTTTGAAACTTTATAAAATAGAAAAAAAAAATCTTTTTTTAAGTTTTCATGTAAATTTTAGGTGAATTTTTAATGATTTTGTCATTTAAAAAAAAAAATCTTTAGTCAAGTAAAAATAATCATGTTCAGACTAAAAAAAAGGCACTGTTGAAGAACAACATGTTATAAGTCTATGTCCTACATAACATCATGAACTCCTTCATGAGCATCTGATCAGGTAAACTCTCACAAGCTCGAGTCTCTAGTTCTTGACTCTGTAAAGGCCCCCCGTGATGAATGTAGGTCAGCGTTGAGGGACACTAAACTCAAAACATGTGCTGCCGGTCACGGTTTCTGTGCGGCCGCTGGAGACGCAGAAATCATGAGCTCATTCCTCCAGGAACGTGAACAGCTGGACCAAAGACTCTAAAGACATTTAGATTTGGTTTGTATTCCAGAAAGATCCATTTTGCAGAACTTGCATGAAATACGACTTTCCTAACTCTTGAAGGTGCTGTGGAGGGCGTGCATTTAATCAAATAAAACCGTCTGCCGCTCTGATGTTGATGAAAACAGGCGTCCATTTCATCAGAAGGACTGTGCCAAGCGTCTCCTGGTGAAATATTGGCTCACAGGTTTGTTTTCAGTCTCCGGGCGACATAAACGAGCACGAATCCATCAGGAACGCAAGCGGCTTTCCTCCCAAAGTCTTAAAGAGAAACATCTGGAGTCTAAAAATACCTTTCGAGCATTTCAGAGTCGGACTCCACCGACAGATATGGCAGGAAATAAAACCTAATAGAATTTTCTACATTTAACTAGTTGACTTAAAAACATAACTGCAACATGATTCCAGTAACATTCTCTTTAGTAACCAGCTGGTTACAGACGGTTTGATTCCAAGTGCAGCACACATGAAGTGCTCGACATGGTGTAAACTTTGCAGAAAAGATGCATGAATATGAAGGCAAAATCATATCCTATCTGTGACCCTGCAGCACAAAAGCAGTGTTAAGTCGCTGGGGGATATTTGTAGCAATAGCCAACAATACATTGTATGGGTCACAATTATACATTTCTCTTTTATGCCAAAAATCATTAGGATATTAAGTAAAGATCATGTTCCATGAAGATATTTCGTACATTTCCTAAAACTTAATGTTTGATTAGTAATATGCATTGCTAAGAACTTCATTTGAACAACTTTAAAGATGATTTTCTCAATATTTAGATTTTTTTGCACCCTCAAATTCCAGATTTTCCAAATATTGTGCTATCCTAACAAACCATACATCAATGGAAAGATTATTTATTCAGCTTTCAGCTCATGTATAACTCTCAATTTTAAAAAAATTGACACTTAAGACTTGTGATCCAGGGTCACGCACATGTTCAGAAATAATATAAAATGAGAAAAATGCTAAATATTTCTTAGCCAAAACATTCAGTTTTAGGTCAACTCAAAAAGTCAAGAACATTCAAATTCAGCAGTAGATGATTAATAACAGTCTGTCAGCATCACGCACACATCAAATATCAGACGTACAGTAGTAGTTCTGCACAGCTTTCTGCTTTTCCATTGCTTGACGGATGTGTTTGACCGCTGCGTCTGGTGTCTTAAGCAGCATCTCGCTCTTGAAGAGGCCAAACACGGCTCTCAAAAGAAGTTCAAACCTTGCGCTTTTCCATCGCATTGCCTCGTGTGTCTCGTGTTTTTAATGCACAAGTGCATTCTGTGTGAATGTGTCTAATATGTTTCTTCAAAACCTTGATTCCTCAATTTAAAACAATTACAGTTGTGGCAAACCATTACCGTTAAAATCAGAAAGCCCTAAAGCAAACCTCACGAGGAAGAACTCAAACTGAGGCTGCTTCCTTACTAAATATAAGAGACGCTTGACTTAGCAATCAGTTTGCACACTCAAACTCACA